CAAAAAAATAATAAAAACTACCAGGAATTTGAAAAAGAAGGTCAATATTAAGCTCTATGCAATAACATAATAAAAATACAGTTGCACAAAATTGGCTGCAAACCTCCATGCGAGACAAAACGAACATGCCTATCGTATATCAGATAAATTTGCATTTTTTCAGAGAATCTAAGTCTTTCGCTTTATTTGTGAGAGTACGAAATCGCCAAAAAAATCAAAGATGAGACATTTTATTTGAATTTAATTCACGAAAATAATCTGATACGGTATATATACATAACATGCATATATGTATTTACAACATGAAAATATGAACATAAGAATGCATTAACGTTAAAATAAGTTTTACCCGCTCGACCAAGTCAAACGGGTGGAAAGGTGAAATGGGTCTCGATTACAACACGCTATAATTCCTATGTATATACTGTATCACAAACGTTTCTTGTTAAGGACATGAATATATCCGTGCGCATGATTACGTCATACTTAACATGTGTAACTAGTTAATATATTTTAATCTAACCCACAGCAGGTTAAATTGTGTTACTTTAGAACGATAGACATAACGTCTTAACAGGAGAATACGTTAAGGCACGGGATGTGATGAACAATTAATCAGCAATAGTGTATGGAATGTGAACAGTCTATCATAACGACTGTCTGCGTAGGGGAAAAACATCCACATGATTATGATTATCATAGAGTATATTTTGTATTAGCATTACAATGCAGCTTGTTTATTTAGATCTTACTTATAGGCATATATATACCGTTCTTGAAACAGTATGAAAATCAACCATAAAGTGTATTAACGATGACGCAACAGAAGGATTTTTCTTGACCACAAAACACTGATTTTATGAATATAACGTATTTTGTACATGTACCATATTTTACACTGCATTTCCCCAACTCTCTTCTAACTTCCCCTGTAATTTATTCGTCACTATCCCTAAGCTTTAGTTGACAATGTTGGTTATGATGAAAGGTAACTGATTTATATACATGTAAGTGTATTAACACTTGTTTCTGTCACCAATTCATTTATGTATAATCATATTTGTATTATGTATTACATATGTTATGTTAATAAAACAAAGTTTAAACTAACGTCTGTTACATCCAGCTGGCGGAGTTGAAAAATATGTATGATCAAAGGAAGACAGGTTTTAATTACCCCATTTAAACGGTATTCTTAGTTAATTTAGATCATATTTCTTTTTATCGACAGTAAAATGGAAAACCAATCAACATGAAATGTAGGTGTATATATATTGAAAGTTATTTGGTATTCGAAATCGTGATAAGAAACTTAAAATGTTCCAGTATCAACCTATGTTTTGTAGCCGTCGATCATTTATTAATATCCTTTAATGGGAATAGATGCATTCGTGAAATATTTTGTTTATTTAATTTCTACAAAACGGGAATTAAAATATCCTTTTACTAATATTGATATTTTTACCCCTTTTGACGTATAAACTAGAAGTGTGTCATTACAAATATTTACTTGTTGTGCAAATTAAAAACGATTTTCGTGCATCGATTTGTAAACCATGTTTGTTCAATTGAAGAAAATAAAATACTCGCATTTCACAGAAAGACAACATTTCGATTTTATTGACATACAAAGTTATGCAATTTCAATAGAAAATGTAGACAGATATTTCATATGTCTGTTCCTTAGATCAATGCAACATTTATACACTCATCATACAATTTAAACAAAACTAAATCAAAAGTCATGCCAAAATTGTCGCGCAACAACAATATTAAAAATCATCATTAGACATACATGATAAAGCTGTGTGATTGTGGCGAAGTCTGACTTCATTATTCGAGGTAACACCACAGTAACATGTGTACAGTTGTAAAGATTAACCTCAAACAAAACAATATTGAGAAAATAATAGTAAATTAAATACAAAGAACAGAGCAGTGCGAGTATGACGAAGGGAGACTTTGTTAAATAAGAGGTATGCCAAGTTTGTTAGCACAGAGATCTCACAGACTCTGTGATTTTTAGAATACATCAACATGAGTAAAATACATGCAAATCCTTTCCGGATTAGGGTTATCTAATTCTAACCCTGGCATCTGACAGACTAAAACAATACAGCGTTGCTAAGTGATTAAGGAACATTGTAATGATAATGTGATGACTAACACCAATACAGTATTACACAAATACTCATAAGCATTTTTAATGTCGAGGAAAATATCTCCTGTAATTTTATACAGGCCGACGCAAGATACAACAAAAATTAAACGTGGCGATAAATGATCGTGAACGAACTTGTTATTGTGCATTTTTCAATTTGCAAACGTTTTTTCCTAATAACACCCTTTTTTACAACGCTCTGTTTTTTTTGTGGTTTTTTTTTCTCTCGTTGAACTTTTTCGCGGCGTTAAATGTTTTTGCACACCACCATTTCTAGTTAATAGCTCGTTTGACCCAAGAGGTAGCTATTGCGAGAACGTGAAACCCCGAACAAAACAAAAACTAAACTATCAACAAGTCCATGAGACAGACATAACTCATTTTCTAATCAGGCGGAACATAAAGTGAAAATAAAACGTCCTCGACATAACAACTCATAACAGATTGGTATCTTATAGCTGCTGGGATTTAAAACCAAATAAAAAATACATAAAATAGAAATGAGGATATGTGTAACCATCCTTTGCATAGTATTATTTTTAATTTTTATTTCGATATGTTTTGTGTTAAAGGAAGTCCGCAGCATCTAAACCACCTGAGGCATTTCTAGCAAAGCACAACTTAAATCTAAGCTATATGAAAATTATAATTTATATTATATGCGAATATGTGGAAAATGCTTTTTCCACATAAGTAAGCAAATTTAAATTTAAAAGAGGAAAAATGACGGTTAACCGAAGGTAAAATTTTATAAAATAGTCAGCATTGCAATGTAATTGAATTCTATTAGATTGTTCAGAAATAAAAGATTTGTTCTTTATGAATAACATGTAACAACTTATGGGCAAGATAGATCTAGAGCGCACGAAGTGCAACTAGTACAAAACTAATGCGAAACTAATACGCACAGTTATTTTCATATTCAAACTCAAATTAATTAACAAACGCATATGTAGATTTTTATAGATTGCATACACTTGACATGCTGGTTTAGCGGAATCAATATAACAGATTATCTGCAAATAAATCTTTGATTATATAGAGAATATTACCATATTATATATATGGCACATATATCACTCAACCTTAATGATAAAAAAATGAAACATTCAAAACTGACATCGGTAAGCAAAATTAATATACTTAAACATGTATTACAAAAATGCTATAAAATTGCATAAATGTGGTAATTCAATATTATTAATAAAAGTAGAAAACAAAAACAAGAAGACAAATATTAGTTAATCCCAGCAGACCATCTGACCGATGTGCCACCGTTTTAAAAGAACTATAAGATGAAGTTTGTTACAGATACAATATATGGCTGTGATTTGACTACAATATTATTCGTTGTCTCCCGTCTTTAAGATACTTTTTACTACTTCAGATGGTCACCATTGCCCTAAAATTACTGTATACCTGGATAATTGCATTTCCACTGCAAGGTCCTCTATTAGAATTACCAAAAGAAGTCGCGTCATAGAGATCTGAACGCAATTTGATCGGAGTCATTTCGAAGCCTCTCATGTCGCTCGAATAACACGAAATAATATTTAGAAGCAAAACTGTTGGTGATATACGACTGTGCCATGATTCACGTTTGCATTGGCGACAGATACTTCAATATCGAAAATATAAGGGTATATATTTGTTAAAGGTCAATAACACCTAAAACATTAGAATGTAAATATATGAATTGAAAGGCATTTTGTTTGCAATATTAATTCCAGTGTAAAATTGAAAAATGCCATTCAATCCTTATATAAACGGCATATGCAGTGATCCTGCTACTCATGTATCGAATAACAGGAGTTCCCGACACTTACCCAACAGAAAGTATTCAAGTTTCTTTAATATCATGATTATGTTCAACGTTGAACAAAAAGTAATAAGTCGGCTGGATCAAAAGAAATATTTCAGATTAAAAAAACGACTACCTCTTGCTCGCAATGTAATAATATTCACATCTACTTATTTATATTTTACTTAATATACAAATATGGATAAGAAAAATGCGTAAAACGTTTTGATCTAGGAATCATATAGGCCCGTTCACATGAGGTGGTCTGTACATTCTGTATATGTATTGATACACAGAAACAATCATGAACGTCACCAAGTGGGTGAGTTCATTAGCTAAACTTATCAAAGATAACACCTACTCACATACAGTACAATAATATATATATATATACTCACAATAAATGTACATAGATATTTCTAGTCGTGGTAAACATATTTATGCAAACGATATCGTCATGATCATGAGCAATTCAAAAATCATAAACATTCTATCAGAAACAGTTATAAAACCGTCTTGCCCAGGGTTGTAGGATAGGGAAGTTTCACCCAAAGTTTCTTTTTTCAAATGGGGTAAAACCCGGACTTTACCGGGGGTTATGCACAAATAAATAAACCGGAGGGTTGCATTTCTCTATCCTCCTGTATGTATCAGAACATGAACATTATATCAGATTGGTTGTAACAAATTATTTCTTTTTGTCATATATAAAACACATATATTCAGAATGAAGCAGAACAGGCAGATCACAGGAGTACAATGCCCACACACCAGTAAGTCTCACTATGTGTGGATTACATTGCCCACACACCAGTAAGTCCCACTATGTGTCGAGTACAATGACCACACACCCGTAAGTCTCACTATGTGTCGAGAACAATGCCCACACACAAGTAAGTCTCACTATGTTTCGCGTACAATGCCCACACTCCAGTAAGGCTCACTATGTGTAGAGTACAATGCCCACCCACCAGTAAGTCTCACGATGGGTCGAATACAATGCCCACACACCAGGCAGATCACAGGAGTACAATGCCCACCCACCAGTAAGTCTCACTATGTTTCGCGTACAATGCCCACACTCCAGTAAGTCTCACTATGTGTCGAATACAATGCCCACACTCCAGTAAGTCTCACTATGTTTCGCGTACAATGCCCACACGCCAGTAAGTCTCACTATGTTTCGCGTACAATGCCCACACACCAGTAAGTCTCACTATGTGTCGAGTACAATGCCCACACTCCAGTAAGGCTAACTATGTGTGGAGTACAATGCCCACACACCAGTAAGGCTCACTATGTGTGGAAAACAATGCCCACACACCAGTTGAATACAAGGAGAAACATTTTGACATCTATCAATCTGTTTCGTACAATCATAAACTTGTCCTCACATCAATCACACAATTGTTAAAAAAACATAATTATAACTCTTCCGTTCAAGAATAACACTCACTGACAAAAGCATTTCTCTCAAGAACAGGGATAGAACGTTCAATCCAATTATTGCAATCTTGTTCACAAAATATAAGGTTCTTGTCACAACCAATCATACATGTGTAGTTTAAACACTATTAAAACATTTTAGTCAGAAAAAACGTCAGGATGGACGCAACCAAAAGAGAGAAGATACTAGTCACTTTAACAGTGTTTCCTCCGGAGACTAACTGGGAAGCGGCGTCCTTAGTCAGACAAAATCGTCCACGGAAGTTGTTGACGTTCACGTTGTCGCGGAAGGATCCCTGCAAAACAGTGCGGAAGAAAACCTTATCAGCTTCCTCTCCAGTTTGACTATAGCACCCTTCTGTCATATAGTCGTCTACCTCAGCACACCCGAAGGCGAAAGATGCCAATACAAGGGCTAATGAAAAAGAAAGATAATTATCAAAATTATGGCGCGTATGTTACCATGACCATCCGCTCTTGTTGTACCTACAAATGTATTACTGCACCGCGAAATTGTTTTCATATAAGAACAATAAACGAATTCATCATATCTAATAACCACTCAACACATAAACATTGCGAGAAACATTCAACAATTTTCCTTCCTGTGTGCTGAAGTTTGTTTCAATGGTGTTATAATTGTCTTTAGGAAGATTCGATGAATGAAAAATATATGTATTAAATGGAAAGTAGATATGGACATATCACGAAAAATTTCTCATCTGCACTATATGCAGATATGTATATTTTTCAATTACGCATCTATAAATGTATGGATATAAATTATCTATCTCAGACGTTTAATCTTTTATTGCCTAACTCTCTTTACCGTATGCTTTGTTGGACATTATTACCGGTACAGTTTGTGTAAACTATATATAATGTCATGTTCTTACCTTTAGTATTGAACACTGTGGCATATACATCGCCCTCCCATACGCCGCATTTCACGACCTTGCTTGAACCGGGCCTGGCAACATTGCACGTGTTCGGGAAGAGGATTCCAGACTGACTTCCTGTGTTCCAATTGGCATTGTTGTTAACGTCCTGTTGGTTCTGTGTCTGGACATAATTACTGTCTGATCGCCTGCACTTTGTGTTGGTCAATCCGGGAGCCAGCTGGCGTATGACCTCGTCATCCGGGTACGTCAGATTCGACGTAATGATCATGTGACTGCATTTATAACATTCCAGCCCTGGAACAAACCCAAACATTTGTCATAATTACTAACGAACACAACACGAGTGACAAGGGCTGATGGTTGGTTAAAAGTCTATTCTGGTAACCTCAAGTACATGTAATAGGATCGGTCTCTATCGTTTGGTCTCGCTCTCAGTCGTCTCCGAGCTGTCTCTGGCTGTACTAGCTCTAGCCCATCTCTAGCCGTCCCTAGCCCTTCTGGCCTCAATTCTAGCCGTCCCTAGCCCTTCTGGCCTCTTCTCTAACCGTCCTTAGCCTTTCTGGCCTCTTCTCTAACCGTCCCTACCTCCTCCCCCGCCTATTGTGTCGTTTGTAAATAATGAACGATTGGAAATAAAACTTATGTGACACTTGTAATTACCATTTCAATTGTTCAGGCATTTCTCCGATGTTATTATTTTATGTATACATACACAAATGCATGTCTTAGATTGGTTCTGTCAGACGTGACGTAACTTATAATCGTGTGGATCCTTTTATGATAATGCTAACATTTATTGATTATTCTTTTAATGATATCACCGAAGTAATTTGTATGTATATCTTATAAGTGGAAACACAATTGTTGTAATAATGTGGATTTGTTGAAATGTTGTTAATAATTACATGTACCCACTACTAGACTTTTATTTCCGACTGAAGTAGAAGACCTTGGAGATAGAACTTGACAAGACATCCTATTGTCACTTAGGGGACAGTATGAGATGTTAATGAAATGTCAAAGAAGAAGGAAGATGTTGGGTGACATTGAATATATAGCATTGAGTATATGAAGACTGGTGGGGGGAATGGGGTGGCGGGTACTTAAAAAATGAATATTAATTCTTACTTGAAAGAACTTTGATTACACAATCACCCTAGCCCTTCTAGCCTCTTCTCTAGCCGTCCCTAGCTCCTCTCTCCCCTTATCCCTATTCTAGGTTATATTTATGCTCGATTATAATCTATTGTTTCGACAAATATAGATGGTCAGTTTCAGTTACACAACGTAGTCCCATTGCACAGGTTGTCCGAGCTACTCCCGACGATCAATTACACAATGCCGTAACACTGACTGTCAGGGGTCCATAAGCCCCACATGCTATCACACAATCGTATGATAGCCTTCAGTGTAAGTTAGACTTAAGGCTGTACGCTACATTAACGTAACATTGATGTAACATGTGGCTCATTTCAGAAGAGTTTAACATATTGATAATTTCTCTATAAGTAATACTCAAGAATCGATTTAAATCACCTCACGCGTATACAGTGTATTAAATAAGATAAGGGGGATAACTCCGACAGAGTATAAGATATAATGTATGGGGTAGCATACAGCTTTAAAACACGTACACTTGTGTTGCGAAGAGCTATTATATATATGGATGACTGATCTCAAATATGTGGAGTATAACACGGATTTACAGATAAATAATAGTATCGTACATGCTCAACATTTGGTACTTTCAAATCACCGCGATTTTGTAAAATGTATACGCCATGAAAGGTTTCTTTCTTTCTGTGTCTCATGTATGGCGGTAACAGTCGACGTCCACAGGGGCCAGACACATGTATGGCGGTAACAGTCGACGTCCACAGGGGCCAGACACATGTACGGCGGTAACAGTCGACGTCCACAGGGGCCAGACACATGTATGGCGGTAACAGTCGACGTCCACAGGGGCCAGACACATGTACGGCGGTAACAGTCGACGTCCACAGGGGCCAGACACATGTATGGCGGTAACAGTCGACGTCCACAGGGGCCAGACACATGTATGGCGGTAACAGTCGACGTCCACAGGGGCCAGACACATGTATGGCGGTAACAGTCGACGTCCACAGGGGCCAGACACATGTATGGCGGTAACAGTCGACGTCCACAGGGGCCAGACACATGTATGGCGGTAACAGTCGACGTCCACAGGGGCCAGACACATGTATGGCGGTAACAGTCGACGTCCACAGGGGCCAGACACATGTATGGCGGTAACAGTCGACGTCCACAGGGGCCAGACACATGTATGGCGGTAACAGTCGACGTCCACAGGGGCCAGACACATGTATGGCGGTAACAGTCGACGTCCACAGGGGCCAGACACATGTATGGCGGTAACAGTCGACGTCCACAGGGGCCAGACACATGTATGGCGGTAACAGTCGACGTCCACAGGGGCCAGACACATGTATGGCGGTAACAGTCGACGTCCACAGGGGCCAGACACATGTATGGCGGTAACAGTCGACGTCCACAGGGGCCAGACACATGTATGGCGGTAACAGTCGACGTCCACAGGGGCCAGACACATGTATGGCGGTAACAGTCGACGTCCACAGGGGCCAGACACATGTATGGCGGTAACAGTCGACGTCCACAGGGGCCAGACACATGTATGGCGGTAACAGTCGACGTCCACAGGGGCCAGACACATGTATGGCGGTAACAGTCGACGTCCACAGGGGCCAGACACATGTATGGCGGTAACAGTCGACGTCCACAGGGGCCAGACACATGTATGGCGGTAACAGTCGACGTCCACAGGGGCCAGACACATGTATGGCGGTAACAGTCGACGTCCACAGGGGCCAGACACATGTATGGCGGTAACAGTCGACGTCCACAGGGGCCAGACACATGTATGGCGGTAACAGTCGACGTCCACAGGGGCCAGACACATGTATGGCGGTAACAGTCGACGTCCACAGGGGCCAGACACATGTATGGCGGTAACAGTCGACGTCCACAGGGGCCAGACACATGTATGGCGGTAACAGTCGACGTCCACAGGGGCCAGACACATGTATGGCGGTAACAGTCGACGTCCACAGGGGCCAGACACATGTATGGCGGTAACAGTCGACGTCCACAGGGGCCAGACACATGTATGGCGGTAACAGTCGACGTCCACAGGGGCCAGACACATGTATGGCGGTAACAGTCGACGTCCACAGGGGCCAGACACATGTATGGCGGTAACAGTCGACGTCCACAGGGGCCAGACACATGTATGGCGGTAACAGTCGACGTCCACAGGGGCCAGACACATGTATGGCGGTAACAGTCGACGTCCACAGGGGCCAGACACATGTATGGCGGTAACAGTCGACGTCCACAGGGGCCAGACACATGTATGGCGGTAACAGTCGACGTCCACAGGGGCCAGACACATGTATGGCGGTAACAGTCGACGTCCACAGGGGCCAGACACATGTATGGCGGTAACAGTCGACGTCCACAGGGGCCAGACACATGTATGGCGGTAACAGTCGACGTCCACAGGGGCCAGACACATGTATGGCGGTAACAGTCGACGTCCACAGGGGCCAGACACATGTATGGCGGTAACAGTCGACGTCCACAGGGGCCAGACACATGTATGGCGGTAACAGTCGACGTCCACAGGGGCCAGACACATGTATGGCGGTAACAGTCGACGTCCACAGGGGCCAGACACATGTATGGCGGTAACAGTCGACGTCCACAGGGGCCAGACACATGTATGTGTTGACCTTAGCTTAATAGCCAGCGAAACAGGTAATAAAACGTTTGTGGTCCGACCGGCCTGAAGTGTAGGTCGAAGTGACGTGAATTACGGGCATAATTTAATCTCGTTATAGGGAAACAATTAATTAGGTACGCCTGACCTCAACAAGTTCTCAATATACTTTATTTTATGAAAAGTAAATAAAGAGGTACTCCATGACATCTTTTAGACATGGTGGGATATATCTGGTATGTCTAAGCAGCGGTCACACACGTGTAGACAGCGACATATGGTGACCTATCAATGTGCTGCGTATTACTATGGTGGTAGACAGATGGACACTGACCGCCACCAATTAATTATAAAGACAGGTATCTCTTATAAATGTGTTCCCCTACACCGGTTATGCTGATAGACTTGCTAACGTCCGAGTAAATACAGCTTCACCAATGAGTCAATTAAATAATATTTTAACAAATATTTCTTCCATATTTGTGTTATGGCAGATGGATTACACTATAAATAGATTATAATCTGTGCTAAAATCACAGATAAATGTTTAATACATGAACAACTGGCTATTATACAATGTACATCGTATATATGCTTATCAAGTACGGGTCACGAGCCTAAGTATTGATCAAAGGGGCATATTAACATAAAATATTAGCAACAAAGTTCTTATCAGGCCATGCCATTAGTGGGTCACTACTCACCTTTAGAGATATATAAATGATCTAATTAAAGTAATAGTGTTAGTGTGTGTATGTTCCACAGTTGCGTAGTCGGTAGGGTGTCGGTCCATGACCTGAAAGGTCATAATTATTTTACATTACGCCTGCATGCATTTGGCTACTATGTTATACCCCGATTTTCTATTTACACATATGCATAAATGGGTACTCGTATGCATGGGACTGACTGGAAGTAATTCTGCGAGAGACCGGCGTGTTATGTACAGGCTACCTCCAGGTATATGGAGTCACTGATTCTTAGCTGTTTGGTTAAGGTCCAACTTTTTGGATATACACGTACACTTTAAACCATGCTAATTAACTTTGGAATTGAAACGACAGTGGATTCAAGAAAGTAGATGACATGATCATAAAAAAGCAGGCTGGGTATCGTGACCTGTATATTCCGTCTTTGCGTATTGCAGAGTTATCTTATCTTGTGAGCAGGTATTGATTGTTGCGTCATTGGTTTGTGTGAGAAAATTACGTCGTTTTCTCAAAAATTGATCACGTTACTCTCACAAACAAATGACGTAACAATCAATACCTGCTCACAAGAGAAGATAACTCTGCAATACACAAAGACGGAATTGACATTCGTGTACCCGTATTTCTTCTGTCCATAACAATAACGTTATAGTTTTTCTCGATGACTGTTTATGATCGTGTCGTGACAAAGCTATGACATTTGTATATACGACATTGAACCCGGATAGGATAGTCCTTAAATACCTTAAATAATACCATGTTCTAACCGCCAAGGAATGTAGTATTGTATATCATATATATACATATGACAAATTTACAACTGCGGATAGAAAGTCAACATATGATATGGGTACTGTAGACCGCATTATTACAAGTTGATAGTTTGGGCGCGTGGTTCTATAAATAAAACGCGAAATCACACTTCGTTTTTTTTGCTAAAATTTGGGGATAAACAATCAACATCAGCAGAAAGAAGACATATTTCAAATATTTTAGAGTCAAACAGGGTTATGATTAAATGTCTACTCCAAACTAACATTAGTTTTGATAAAATAGGCTTTTGAAAATGATATCCAAATAAATAGCGTCACACGGCACGTAAATCGAGAAAGTTGTTTTGGTCATTATGCTTTACTTTAAATTGTCCATGCAACGATAACTAGAATCCAATACAGCTTACATACGGTTAACTTGTCATAAAAGTATGACAGTTTCTTGGGCCGTTTTCCCATAAGTGTCCCGTTTTGGGTACTGTCCCGATTTGGGTAGAGTGACGTTATGGGGGAATGTTTTCACATTTCATGTTGTAAATTAAAAGTTTGTTGTGTTATACTTATGGACGATTCGGCAATTTTATAATGAAATAAAATGTGAGAAAAAACCATATGTATGATACATATGTTTTTTTCCTATACTATACTATCCCTTCGTACCCCACCCAACATCTCCCTCACCTTCTCCCCAACCTCCCACCCAAGTACCCTTTCCCCTTTTTTTGAATTTTAGGCGGATGGGAATGGACAATGTTTTTAACAATGAAATACTGTTGGTAGTTCAATATCTCAAATAGACTGACCGCTTTAACGATTGTGAACAAATTATACTTTTGTAAATGATATGAAATTCAGCCCCCCCNCCAAAAAGAGTAATTAGTATTAGTTTAAGAAAAAATGTTTCATGATTGCTGTAAAATAAATAAAGTTTATAATCATAATTCTCACTCCAGACCACTAACTAGCTATACCCCCATGCCGTACCTAAGTATCACCGACTTTTCACGGTATCCTCATTAGAAAAAGGCGTTATATTTTTTCCGGAACTTGAATCATCACTGCTCAATATATATGTATCACATCGTATCTACCTTGCTACATTCCACACGTATTTGTTATTACATTTCTGAATGGAATATGTGACCTAGTTTACTATATCCCGTTTATAGTAGTGTGTAAATTTAAATACGTACAGCGGTAAGGTACACCTACACCAACTCTATATATTGCTGAACTGGGTGGACTAACACCGGAGGTTATAAGGTCAATCAGAAATAATATATATTATGGCACACCGTAAAAATCCAATTATGTAGTCTGACAACACGTCAGATAAATTATCGGATTAGTTAGACAATACGTATTTACTATAAGCTAAATGGCTTTGGGCTGGGTCAGGTAATGATATATGTTCAACAATCCTGAGGCTATCGTGTGGCCTGCAGTCCTATACAATAATGCTACACCATATTGAAACATTAACAAAATATAGTAATACCTAATGAGGATATATCTATAAACATCAAATATGTTATTTTTATATACATATATTGACAAGAATCGTATCGCCTTGATCCTTGGTCTTGTATACGGAATTAAATATGACGAAGAATAACATAACATATACAAGTACGTGATAGGGATATTGATAGAGTTTTCCATTATTTACGATGATTGAATTTCAGAGGATTTCCTAATCTATATCTTGTTTTATCGATCAATTTTAATATATTTTACCAGTGTGTTTGTTTCGTTTCCCCAATTTCTTATACTCAACTCAGGCTCACCATGTGGTGGTGGATTTAAATATACAAATGTAATATACACAAATAACGTTTCACACCATAGACATGCAGTGTCATTGTACACATTGTACGGTCAGAGTAACAAATCAGCTGCTAGGTAAATAGAGGTACACTGCAATGATACTCGTCAAAATACTAAAAACTTGGCAGATATTTTAATTTACTATACTTGAAGTGATTCCATACAGTATCTGATTAATCTTCTTTTTATTGATTCTTTTTCAAATGAACTTACCTTCAGTTCCGGTGTAACAAAGTACCAGTATTACGCTTACGATCCAATAGAATACAGCCATTTTACACACACGACGTTTTCGGAGTTATCAATGGACGCCGAATGAGTTACCGTTGGACAAGAAAGTGTGTGTATAGGAAGTCACAGTGTCACGTATGGGGACACAAACACAAAGCGGCAGGTGAGAAGGCAGCAGGGGACGTAATACAGGTATTCAGCTTTACCTGTGCAAGGGGGAATAACTCTGACCGTCAGGTAAACGACCGTTTCATTCAAATATTGACCTAGTTTTACACGCATTATACACGGACTGTGCTCAGCTGTGTGATCTGACAGCTTTAAAGAACTCCTAGTCAGCAGTTCTACAGTGAATTAACTAGCTTTCTTAAGTTGGAAAAAGAGTATATGGCAATTAATTTCATTTCCCACTGCAGAAAGGTTTTGTATGTGGCTATTATATATTATACATATGAAAATAATAGATATAGAAATATTTTCTGCGCATGTGATTTCCAGCTTAATACACAGAATACAATCAAATGTCAAAATATGTTTTGTAACAATTCGCCAATAAAATCTGTAATGTTGCCATTCATAATTGCGATAGAATAAAAAAAAAGAAGTTTAATAACAAGTTCGTATTTCAACTTTTCGCATGCGCATAGTAATGTTGCGTTAACTGATTTCATCTCTATACAAAACAGACTAACGATACCTAAGTGTAAGTTTAGACATTTTTCGATAAACAGTAAAAAAACAAGGCATCACAAGTGATACAAATCCCCTCATATTCACACATTGTATGACATATGTATGAGGAAATGAATAGAAAATTCAATGCTGTAGCGACTGCATTCTTTTTTCTAAAACTAAAAAAAATGACCTTGACCTTTAACGCAGTAACCAGGTATAAAGTCGATAGAGCATGACATTTTTTTTTCTAAAAATAGTAAAAGTGACCCTGACCTTAAACGTAGTAACTCGAAACGCGTTCAAGGTATTGTCAAACCAAACACTTGTATCAAGTTTCATGAAACTCCATTGATGAAATGAAGTCGGTAGAGCGATGACAACCTTTTCTAAAAGTAGTTAGAGTGACCCTGACCTTCAACATAGAAACCCGAAACAAGATCCTGTTTAAGGCAATGCCATACTAAACATTTGTATGAAGTTTCAAGAAATTCCGGTGAGAAATGAAGTCGCCAGAGCGATAACAGAGTGAAACATGCGTACATTCGTACAAACGTATGGGCGGAATCCTACATCCCCAGAACTGTCGTTGCGAGGGGATGATAACGTTTAATCAACATAACCTATATGACATTAATTGACGCATCATGCGCTGGCATGTTCGTTTCGTTAAATTTAAGTCGACTTTCTACGATGGCCGACAAGAACCAGACAAACTTTTTCATATCATTGTATACCACATAAAAGTGCACCGTGACACAAAGATATAAAAGCTCGTCACTTTTACTTCATTCTGTACCGCAGGATAGTACACAAAGATATAAAAGCTCGTCACTGTCACTTCATTCTGTACCGCAGTGTGGTACACAAAGATAAAAAAAAAGCTCGTCATTTTTACTTCATTCTGTACCGCAGGATGGTACACAAAGATATAAAAGCTGGTCACTTTTACTTCATTCTGTACCGTAGTATGGTACACAAATATATAAAAGCTCGTTACTTTCACTTCATTCTGTACCGCAGTATAGTACACAACGTTATGAAAGCTCGTCACTTTTACTTCATTCTGGACCGCAGGATAGTACACAAAGATATAAAAGCTCGTCACTGTCACTTCATTCTGTACCGCAGTGTGGTACACAAAGATATAAAAGCTCGTCACTGTCACTTCATTCTGTACCGCAGTGTGGTACACAAATATATAAAAGCTCGTTACTTTCACTTCATTCTGTACCGCAGTATGGTACACAAATATTTAAAAGCTCGTTACTTTCACTTCATTCTGTACCGCAGTATAGTACACAACGTTATGAAAGCTCGTCACTTTTACTTCATTCTGGACCGCAGGATAGTACACAAAGATATAAAAGCTCGTCACTGTCACTTCATTCTGTACCGCAGTGTGGTACACAAAAATAAAAAAAAAAAAGCTCGTCATTTTTACTTCATTCTGTACCGCAGGATGGTGCACAAAGATATAAAAGTTCGTCACTTTCATTTCATTCTGTACCGTAGTATGGTACACAAAGATATAAAAGCTCACCACTTTCACTTCATTCTGTACCTCAGTATGGTACACAAAGATATAAAAGTTCGTCGCATTAATTTCATTCTGTACCGCAGTATGGTACACACAGATATAAAAGCTCGTCATTTTTACTTCATTCTGTACCGCAGTATGCTACACAAAGATATAAAAGCTCGTCACTGTCACTTCATTCTGTACCGCAGTGTGGTACACAAAGATAAAAAAAGCTCGTCATTTTTACTTCATTCTGTACCGCAGGATGGTACACAAAGTTATGAAAGCTCGTCACTTTTAATTCATTCTGTACCGCAGTATGGTACACAAATATTTAAAAGCTCGTTACTTTCACTTCATTCTGTACCGCAGGATGGTACACAAATATATAAAAGTTCGTCGCATTAATTTCATTCTGTACCGCAGTATGGTACACAAAGATATAAAAGCTCGTCACTTTCACTTCATTCTGTACCGCAGTGTGGTACACAAAGATAAAAAAAGCTCGTCATTTTTACTTCATTCTGTACCGCAGTATGGTACACAAAGATATAAAAGTCCGTCGCATTAATTTCATTCTGTACCGCAGGATGGTACACAAAGATATAAAAGCTCGGCGCTTTCACTTCATTCTGTTCCTCAGTATGGTACACAAAATTATGAAAGCTCGTCACTTTTACTTCATTCTGTACCGCAGGATAGTACACAAAGATATAAAAGCTCGTCACTTTCACTTCATTCTGTACCGCAGTATGGTACACAAAGATATAAAAGCTCACCACTTTCACTTCATTCTGTACCTCAGTATGGTACACAACGATATAAAAGCTCGCCACTTTTACTTCATTCTGTACCGCAGTATGGTACACAAAGATATAAAAGCTCTTCACTTTCACTTCATTCTGTACATCAGTATGGTACATAAAGTTATGAAAGCTCGTCACTTTTACTTCATTCTGTACCGCAGGATGGGATGGTACACAAAGATATAAAAGCTCTTCACTTTCACTTCATTCTGTACATCAGTATGGTACATAAAGTTATGAAAGCTCGTCACTTTTACTTCATTATGTACCGCAGGATGGTACACAAAGTTATGAAAGCTCGTCACTTTCACTTCATTCTGTACGCAGCATGGTACACAAAGATATAAAAGCTCGTCACTTTTACTTCATTCTGTACCGCAGGATGGTACACAAAGATATAAAAGTTCGTCACTTTCATTTCATTCTGTACCGTAGTATGGTACACAAATATATAAAAGCTCGTCACTTTCACTTCATTCTGTACCGCAGTACACAAAGATTTAAAAGCTCGTCACATTTACTTCATTCTGTACCGCAGTATGGTACACAAAGATAAAAAAAGCTTGCATTTTTACTTCATTCTGTACCGCAGGATGGTACACAAAGATATAAAAGTCCGTCGCATTAATTTCATTCTGTACCGCAGGATCGTACACAAAGATATAAATGCTCGGCACTTTCACTTCATTCTGTACCGAAGTATTGTACACAAAGATATAAAAGCTTGTCACTTTCACTTCATTCTGTTCCACAGTATGGTACACAAAGATTTTTCATTCTGTACCGCAGTATGGTACACAAAGTTATGCAAGCTCGACACTTTTAATTCATTCTGTACCGCAGTATGGTACATGTACACAAAGATATAAAAGCTCGTCACTTTCACTTCATTCTGTA